CTTTCCTCTTGGGTTTTGTTTCAGTGGGAATTTGTGATATGCTATCTAGTTATTTACATAATTAGGGCATTTATATGTGCATGAAGTTCACCGTTGGATACAACCGAGCAAGATAACAAGCTGGTGAACTCATGTGCGTCGTCTTGTATTGTGGTAACGGTGACCGGTGGTTGTCCAAGGGAACTGTAAATTAGAAGTCGGCAAGTATCAGTCAAATGTATATATTTATAAGGCATATAGTCGTGATTAGTCTTTACTCGATGAATTAGCCTTGAAAGTTTATAAATGCGTGAGCTTCAATATCCATCTAGTCATTCCTTTCAGAATAACACAAGAATAGTAGATGCGAATAGTCGCTCGGTTTCCTACAAAAATTAGTTTTAATTTATATTTAGAATTAAGGCATTATCGCCACCGTAGTGGTGTTGTACCACTGTTTCCTGTAGGAAATTAATAGCATTTTTGTGCGGTGATGTGTAACTCAAACAAGCATTTTAATGCAATAACTTGAAGATCCTTTTCTTGTACATTTTGCCGAGTCAGAAAGTATTGGTATCTGCTTTGTTTTCCGTGATTTAGGGAATGCGATGATATCACAACCCTTTCAACAGGTTCGATACAACACACGCAAAAAAGGAAAGCTGTTCACCTTTTCTGCACTCTTATATGTTTTTGAATTGAGAAACACTTGTGCTAAGATAGTAAATAAAGATTTTGTTTGCTCTCAGTTTTACACTCACTAACCGGGTGTACGTTAAAGAATACTCTTAGTCATTAGAATGCTCGTGCAGATAACTGAAACATGTTTGATTTGATTCTTTGACCCCGAGGGATGTGATTTTGAATTCTTTCTCACTCTGTGGATTTTTGATAAATGGAGGCATTTGGTTTTCTTCAAACGACACATCAGCTTGTTTCAAAATCTTCTCGGTTTGGAAAAAATTGCGGAAAGAAGAAATTTTATTCAATTTCTCTGATCTGCAAGTGTAGAGGGATATGACACAGTAAAATCTTTCCTTGTAGATAAGTTGTGATTTTTTTTCCCTTTGACAACGTCGAATTAAACGGCTTTCGCGTTATATCGCATCGTAAACCACGGACGTCCACTTGATTACAGAAAAAAGTATTAAAATTGGTTGGTTTTCTAGATTTAATATGTTGCTTTCAGCGGAAACTATACGATCTTTTAGTGGGGCAACCGCTGGGGCTGAAAAGCGCCAATGACAACAATAGAATCTCACGAAGGTCATGTAACTGATCAAATGCTTCGCTTAGAAATGCGTTTAACACACCAAGATTACTTCCATGCACAAAATTGTGGCTAATGTGTCCAAAGTGATGATGGAAAGGGAGTTATTAACTTTTTAAATGACATTGTACATAAACTAGGCTGATTCTGGTTCGGCATTGTACCCAGTGTAACAAGCTTGTTGTTCTTTTGATCATTTGTTGTGGCAGACCAGATTTTAGGGGTGCGTTGGGATCTTTCTGTGTTGTTGTGTTTTCTCTCTTTCCCGCGATGAGAAGTGGGTCGGTATTGAGTGGCTCTACCTGGTTGACACGGCACAGGACCCCAGGAGCACCCAAATGTGTAAGTGTCTCGGGCGTAAAACACGACATGAAATGAAGAAACGTTCATTTTCATTGGCAAGTTTGTCAGTTTGCTCTGCAAGTGATCCCAAGCGTTTAAATCCTCCATCACATTACATTATCGACCTTGCTTGATGCATAATTCCCCTTTAGTGCTGTGTTATTATAATTGTAAAGGTTTCATTGTGTTAAATTTAGGATATCACTCTCAGTGAAGGGGGGAGGATGCTTCGATTAACATGACCATGAGGGCACTTATTTTTTCCAGATGGCATCACGATATTTTATTTAATACTTAATTTCAATAGTTTTTTTAACAAATTTTTGGGTTATCCTTACGTTACATGCTTCTGCAAATAATGCAGCTCCAAGGAAGCACGCTCTCGAGTAAGACAAAAATATCGTCAGAAATTATCTAATCGTTACAAAATGGACCTTCGCCATCATTTATATTGGAAATGTAGCTTTATATGAAAGAACAATTTTACAAAAATTAAGGTCAATTTTCAACAGATGATATGTATATTCTTTTTCCGTAGACGAGGCAAAATATGTTTAAGGTTTTTCAAAGCGTCACAACTAGCTATCTTTTCATAGAAAAGGTGTTATTGGTTCTCAGCCTTTTAAAATGGACTTATGGTATTTTTAAATGTAGCTTAAAATCTATATATGACGGCTCCTAGAAATTTTAACCGAGTATGGAAGCTCTGAATCACTTACTACCAAAACGGCTACGATAGCTAACAACTTGATTATATTTGAAACAAGCAACCTTTAAAGACAAATTGCTTCTCGACTCAGGTATATCAAACGAGACACAAATGTTGGTATGAAACTAGGCAGTAGCTTACAGAAAAAAATATCATTTATACTCCGAATATTTACACTTCCTTGCATAACGTTTAAAAACTGAAGAATAATTTATGTATCTATATATAAGTACAGCAGACTTTTAGAATATGAAAATGCGAATAATATATTCTGTGACAGCCAGCAAGTCAAAGGCATGTTTTCTGTCAACTGAATAGATTTCTAGTTTTGTGAATTCTTCCTTTCGACCGATGATATGTGACAAATGATACTGGGAAATTTTTCCCCAATTTGAGGGTCACCCAAGAGTAAAATGCTGAAATTAAAGTCGTGCCTTTGTAAGCCTGGCCAGGGGGGAAGAGTCAAGGGTAAGAGGCGGAGGGGGGTTGTGGGATACTGAGATAATCAAGTTTTCCCACCCGAGATGGCTATAGACTATAAATTTCTGAGGAAATGAATTCTAACATAATACCTAAAATTACCTCGAGATTTTGAATTGTGTCTGTATGACAAATACCAACAGTTCAGTAAAGAAGAGATAGTTTAAACCTGTATTATGATATAAATATACGTACATCCGAGTTTAAAAGATCTCTTTTACCCGAATACATAAATGGCTTTGCAGAGTCTGCCCCACGAAATGGTTTGAGGTAGTGAAAGTGAAGTGATCTGCTTGTGGCAAAGAAGTTAGTCTAGAGTAAGATTTATCTCATAAACTTTTAGGACATCTGAATTCTTCAAAAAGAAACTGTGGTGTTCTTTCTTAGGTCTTGTGGAGTTCTTTTACAATTCCTGTGGAGAAAACAAGAACCTTCTTTTGAAACGTGAAAGTAAAGGGTTGTCTTCATCATCCTAGTAAACGTTTTTTAGCTCCACGTTTCATTCCCTTATTTTAAGACTGGTGAAGCTCTCACTGGCAAATAAAGTCTGCTTGCCTTATGAATATAAAATATAACAACTATTATTTATAAAAAATGTTAAATTGTTCTTTTAACCTGCAGGTATTGATTTATTTCTTTGATATGTGCTCGTCATTGTCACTGCTGTCATTATAACAAAGCAGGTCAATTCTTCTGGTAAGAGGTGTTCAAAGAAGATGCAGCAGAAATCTAGATTAGTTATGTTTTCCCATTTATTGTTGATAGTACTGCAGCATTCAGTTTCATTGACACTGGTGAAAATCTCAAAGAAAGCTGTGTGCTCATGCATTTCATCATGAAAAACGGACAAACCTGATGTGTGTAAGACGAGTTAAACTCTTGAAGTAGGCTTTCCTCATTATTTCTGTGGGTATAAAGATATGGTGGAAAAGAGTTGTTGAATTGCAAATACCGTGATGGTCAAAAACTCATCCTGAGTTAAGGCTCACAGAACGAACTTTACATTCTTTGCCTATGTGCTAGAATTCAATAAACCATAGGAAAGACCCCTGCCAAGAAAGGAAATGATGCTTTATCAAGATGAACTTTTGAGACAACTTTCAATCAACGTGTGCTTATTTGAAATGGCTTTCGACTAAAGTATCTCGCTGTGATGCTAGTCTCTTGAGAAGAACAACTTTGTGGGTAAGAAGTATATTAGCTGTTAAGAAAAAGTTAACAGCAAAGTGCTGTCGTTATGGAATTGACCCACCCGATACCCCCAAACCAACTTTTTGACGGAGTGATTCTTCCCATATAGAAAAGCAGAGGCAGTTTTTGAAAAAGTATTTCGATACGGACATGGCATTTTCCTAACTGCAAATCTTCCAGAAACTCTTATTACAAATGATGAGAGCCATTTGAGCGTTGGGACGGAGTTATCCGATTAGCACTGAAGGGAGCGGCTAGTAAATTTCTTTTTGAAAGAAGCCCCCAGTATATCTAGTTTTAGGCAGCCACTTGAGTGCTTCTTCTTGATTGTGAAAAACAACGTAGCAACCTACATTCGCACTATCTTGGACCTCCTAACAGAGTAAGGATGTCTCTGTTGGGAGTATGATTATGTCCTTGCGCAAATTCTTGATTAATGAGCTTACATTAATAATAGTTGTGTGTAATTGTCGTTGACATTGTAGTTGACAAGGCAAGAGCCATTGCAATACACTACAATCAAATCTGCTTTCTGTTCTGCTTGTCTATCATTTTAGCAATTTTTACGATTTAGGCGTGGATTAATTTACTCTTTGCATTTGCCAACTAAAGCGGAAGGCATGAATGAGAGTTGATGGCAAGGTTTTTCCATAGCTTCTTGTATGGGTGAGCATGACAACTGGAGGGCAAAGGAATCAGTAATGACAGGGCTGCATCCTCAGCCCTTGAACCTACCACCTTGAGATACCTAAAGGAGATGTGTTCGGGAAGGTCACAAAATTAGAAAGGTGGCAGCTAAGTTCCAAGCACATTATCATGTTTTCTTCTTAAAACCACTTTTTCCCCGTTGATAGCCACTGCGGATGGTATTGGTTTGAATAAAAAATAAACAAGGCTTCCCACTCTTACAATGCGAGTCTTCAGAGCAGAAAGTTATCTATCCTCAACCACAAGTTTCAAGTCAGTTTCAATTTTTTTCAACCAATAAATCTGGCCTGTATTTGTGTAGGTGGAGTATGGTCGTGGAGCTCTCGCTAAATTATGTGTAAGGCTGCTTGGGAGACCCTCAGTGGATCAAGTAAGCTTTAAATGTTGTCACAATTAAGATATCAACAGGCTTGGTGTTGCTTAGTGACCCAAATTGTTCACCCAGATCTTTTGGGGCCTGACTGTGTGGGCAATATTTGCCTCTAGTCCCATTCCACAACCACATACTTTTGTTATTGTCTATCACAGTTCCTCAAGGGCGGTCTGAATTCTCAAACAATGTTATCAAATGCAGGCTTTCTTAGGGATGGCAATTATCAAAAACTCCAGAGGGCTTATGATGGTCTGAGGTGTGAAAGTTTTCAGCCACAAGGAACATTTTTATGGCAAATGAAGGCTCCTACATGCAAGATGCGGTTGATATTGTCGATATAACATTATTCTAAGAAGAATCTTATCTTCTCAGTCAATGATAAAGAGACTCAATAAATTACCTTGAATGGTCCAAGACCTGTGTGTCATATTCAGCCATTTCGTTCTTTAAGAAGGATAACAACTTCTCGACTTGTTGCTGGAAGGTATCACTCTCATCCCCTTTGTTTGGCTACAGGTAATATAAATTGAATGGTTCGAGATCAGCTTTTGAATTTATTTGATCGTGATTCCTTTTAAGACAACGGTTGTAAATTAATTTTAGCATCAGCCGTCTGCATCATGAGACTTACGTAGTAGTATTAATTTGACAGTGTATTGTTGGTAAATAGACTACTGTTTTGAGGATTTATTCAGTTCTGCCTATTAGTGTGTCACTAATGAAGCAGCAACAAATATTCATGAATGGGGAAAAATTTAAGTTGATCTGTTCCTGGTACGTATACATTGTGTATAATATTTGATTGTTCTTACCAAAACAAATAGTTTCCATTCGTCTTGATGATGCAAACTGATTGAAAATAAAAAGTCAAACAGAATGTTCGCCACTTAGCATAATAACGTCCACGGAATTTGACGAAATAATGACTGGATTATATTATTAAACATGTTTAAAATGTTTCCATGAAAATGAATTAAAAGAATTTACCTGGAAGATAACCCCATCCTCGTAAATTTTGACAACTGGATATATTTCCAGATCTTTCGTAAAAGCTGTACTAGAAGTTCTTTCTGAGAGGTGTCTTCTCCCTGACGATACATATGCTGCAGGGAAAAGGAAAGAAATGTTTCAATACAGTGAATTTTTTTTTCTGAAGTTTGTTTCAGAATTTGATGTTATCTCCAGCTATTTGTTATAATACCTACCTGAAGTAGCTCTTTTTGCTTTTCAAGGGTTCTTGTAATACACGTGTATTCTGCTCCTCCTGGGTATTCCTGTCAAAGAAGGGGTTTTTTTGTTATTATAACCAGGCTCATTGTCTGGCTTTACTAGGCCATCGAACAAGCATACATTTCGTAGTATGGAAATGGCTCTTTCAGTTACATTTTTGTGAGGTTTGGGCTTGAAAATCCCTGAGTAACAAGACGCTTATTAGCTCAAGGGATAAGCTTATAGATATAGTTTTGATGAAGCAAAGGCCTCCCTCCAAATTGAACCCAGCGTGCTGCACTTAATATAAAAGTATTACAAACCGGCTGTACAGTAAACTGTCTCATGCCCATGAATGCCTGGAAATGAATGTACGATTACTTTTGATGGATGCTCTCGCCCGTTTTCAAAATGAATTTTACCTCGGAGATAGCTCCCCATACCATACTGGATTTAAATAAGGATACTGATTATCCTTTGGAACAGCTGATTCGTAATTCTTTGAGCAATGGTTAAGAGTAAGACTGGTTATTTGTCAAATTCATTATACCTGCTTGTGCGTGTTATCTTTCCTAATCATTTCTTTTTCGAAGTGATGGACATCTGTAACTTTATCTTCTGCCTAAATAACAGTGTGTCTTCTGCGCGTAACATATCAAAACAAACACAACATTTACATACCCAATTCAGAGTTTTCCATAATTGCTTACTTTCCTCCGTTGGTTGTCTGACAAAGAGAGTACCAGAAATATTGGTTACACACCCCTTGGAGGTACTTGGAAAAGTTTCTACCAACGTTAGGCTACTTCAGGCATATTTTAGAACACCACACTGATAAAACATTAAACTATAATACTTATGATTTTGAAATAGTTTTAACTTTAGTGCCGGTATTTCAACAACAACACAAACAGCTATACGCTGTCACGACACAAAGGTATCATTTGCGAGCGATTTCCTTTATAATGCAATAATAGGTGTGTCATTAGTTCCGTTAGTATTTTCTATGTTATTGAGTTAAAATGTCATCATTTGTTTTTAACGGTGTTGTTTCCGGTGTGAGTAAACACGTGTAAAAGCTGAAGATATGTTATGCGTAAATATATAAATTTCTTGACCTTACCTTGTTGTGAGAGATTCCATTCGTTGTTCGGAGGTCAGATTCAGGTGGCTTACTATTGCACTGATTAGCTTGCATAGTGAATAGCGCAGAACCCTGGTGTTTCCGTGATTTGGCTGGTTGCAAAATTGGACAAAAATTACAATTAGCAACGTGCAGTATTGAGGAATTATACTGATATCATAATTTTTTAAACATGTCTATGTCTTTTGGACTTTTAAAAAACAACTGAATGAAACAATATTTAGAGGGGAACTACGTAATACTCATGTCAGTAATGGTGTGAATTTAATAGCACTCGATCGCTCACAATTTTCGCTGTCGGTAAACGAAAATTAAAGGTGGACGAATAGTTCGTGCTATTTTTTACTGTCTCGTCACACTCACCTCTTGGTTCTCTGGTTGCCAGGTTCGCTGTGAGGTGGCCATATCTTCTCAACTCAATACAATTCGGAAAAATATTGTTTACGTGTGGACAAGGCTGTTAAAGCAAGTGGTTCGATGAGTTTGTTCTCGAGTTAAGTTGATCGCTTGGTAATACTTTTCTTGTACCTGCACTCCGTATTCTAGACCACTTTCAACTAAAGAACTTAAAAAAGCCTCTTCGTCTTGTTTTTCCGAAATCTCTGAAACTGTCGTTCAAGGATGGTCCCTTGGACAGCGCTAGTTCTGTCATGGCAGTTTAGCACAACTGTTGATATGACGTCAATAGACCATTTTAACAAACATCACGTGTAGGGTGAGAACGGGTTAGGGGAGGGGTATGGTTTGCCTCTGTTCGTCGATCTATCGTGGCAAACTGCTGGGTCATGTTCCAATAGAAAGCGTTCGTTACTCATTTCTTCAATAACTCTTCTGTTCGTACCCAAACGTTTTCGTTTTTTATTCTTGTTGTGAGTTGAAGGTAACATCTTGAAAAATCTGATGGTGCGCTGAATCCACTGATAATATGTAGAAAACTCTGTCCTGGTTAGTCTTCTCTTCTTTGTTCCTTCGGTTGTAATGATCTGTTTTTTTCCCCTGCGGTAGTTCTCTAAGCTAAGACCTTACAGCGGAATGCGTGTAATCACTGGTTCTTTCTACATCCTTGATTTTTCCTTGGAGAAACCGTGAAGCCATCTATTTCTTTGTCAGACAGTCATGTGTGAGTCCGCCAGCAGTTTATATTTGAGGACTCTGAAGAGAAATGTGATATGCTTAATATTGTTGAATTCTGCAATCACTATGTGACGCAGGATGTTTTGAAGGATTGTATTACGACCTCAGCTGTCAGTTGTGATCAGAGAAAGAAATTCCGATGGAGCCGCTCGCTTTTGTCTGTTCACTTCTTTTGGTATGCCTGTCAAATTTCTGTCAAACGCGCAGCCTATAAGGTGTTTAATTATATTCAAACTCAGTGTACTGACGAGATTCAGCCAATTATTTTTTCGACGTGAGTGGTGGGGTGCACGGAACCATGTTACCTTTTAGGTATATATTGGGATGATGCAACAACACGAGGTTTATCCGTTGAGATGATGCAACACGATGATGTTTGATCTGTTAGTATCTTTTAGGATAACAGCTTCTGATGAAGATAAGGCAAACGTAACAGCTTTGCGTCGCTCTGGAAATGCATTCTTTTGACTTTATTAAGCTTGAAACTCTTGGTTGATTTCGTGATTGGCGTTTTCAGTATTATCATAATTTAATTAATCTTTTGCGTGACTCTGGCGTCTTCAATCCTTAGGTAGTGAAGCTTTCAAAAGCATGACCTTTGAAATGCTATTTGTGAATTTATCTTCACAGCAGATGATTGGCATTTGTTTTGCCTGTATGGTCAGTTCATTTGAAACCCTTGGTTGATTTTGTGATTGGCGTTTTCAGTATTGTAATAATTTAATTAATCTCTCGCGTGATTCTGGCGTATTCAATCTTTGAAATGCCATTTGGTTGATGCTATTTGATTGGCATTTGTTTTTTCTTTATGGTCAGTTCATAGTCACAGTTTGCCCACGGACCGCATTCTCGCCTGGGGCTTGGCTCGAGTTCTTGATTTACTCTGGGCCTGATTTATTTTAGAAGGGCGATGAAGCGGAAAGGCTGGGTCTTTCCCTTGGAAAAAAAGGCTGTATCACCTCATACTTTTTTTCCAATCCTTTCATAGCGCTATAGCTTTAAAGTATGAAATCACTGGTGAAAGTCTAAAGGGCAGATCAACCCAAAAATTCTGTATTATAAAATTAGAGAGTAAAGATTTTGAAACCCAGTGGTGAAAGTTTTAAAGTTTTAACCCACAAAATACAAAAGCTTGTGAAGATTGTAAAATCTCTCAGGATGAATCTTTCTGACACAGGATGTACTGAATAACCTTTAAAAGGTGGTGTCCCTTTCTTGACGCAACTTGGAAGACGACTTATTCAGCGCGGATACACGAAAACTTAATTTCTTACAATTTCACCTGCGTAGTGAACTACAAATGATGCAACTTGATCGGCTAAGTATACAGTGGACCGAATAGGATAATAAAGAACTCATACAGACTTGAACTCGAAAGGGTTTTTGAGTTTCGAAACTGAAGTTATCCGCTATTTTTAGTAAAATCTTATTTTTCCGCATAAATTGTGGAGGGAAAAGGACAGATCTTAAAAAGATGGTTCGCTATGTAGTCGGCGTTATGTGGTTGCTCTTGCATCTTTTGAACCATGTCCGAATAAAACCAGGCGCGACGTAAAAAATTGTAAGTATTTACAGAGTCCGTATTTTTCATTAAATCCGAAAATATTTCTGTAGCGGACAGCGAGTGGAAGTACCATGCCTTGGATTCTTTTCGGCCGTAAATTGGTAACAAATTGAATTATTTGGGTCCATGAAATTCCTTGAGCCTTAGTCAGAAATTGAGTATCTTTTCAGGGGCAGTATATGGGCAGTCATGTTTTCTCATAACCCCGTAAGAGTGTTTAACTTTGACAACTAGGATTTTATTTGCCGTCGTTACTTAGTGGTGATTTACATAAGTTATACGGTGTGATAATGTTTCGCCAAGCCGTGCTGTTGCTCTTTTCTGTGGTTGTTGTAGAATATTGAGGTGTTGCTTTATCGGCTTTATTCAATTTGATGTTTTAACTTTGGAATTTCATAGTGAAACGAAGGCCTTAATAGATTTACTGTATAATGAAGAAGGGGTCTTCAGGAATTCTCTCGTTTGCATTATTTTCATTTTCCGGATAGATTGTGAAGAAAAATGAACTCTCTAGCCGATTTAAGCTCATGCGAAGCAAGCGATCATTAGAAAATGGAATTTTGCCGTTTCTTTCTTTTTATGTTTCAGTCTTAACATGGGGGAGCATTTACGGGTTACCTTAAAATAGAATCTACTCGAAATCTGAAGTATTCGAAAATGCTTGTTCTAAGAAAGTATGGCCTCGCAGTTGTCACCAACAAGAAAACATGTGGGGATCATTGCATGTAATTTTTTTTTCTTGGCACATATGAAATTTCATTTTTGGAAACCTAACTCACATTTCCTTTTTGTTAGTAAATTGGTCTATCTAGTCATTATGCAAGTTACTACATGCAATTGTTATAACTTAATGTTGTAATTCTCATCGTTCGCAAACATTTTTTTTTTGCTTTTGTGTGTAGCGTAATATGAGAGGTAACCATGTCATGACTTGAGTGACATTTTCGGTACCTCATTTTCCCGTCTGTATTTCGCTCTTGTGTCACAAGTTTTAGTCGCATCTTTTTCTATGCTTTCCATCACTGCAAAGAAAAACAAACCAGATAACAACCCAAAAAAGCTATACTAAACAAGGAAAAAAATAAACCAAAAAATATTGTTGCACCTTTCCTACTTGATACTGCCAGCTTTGTTGCAGTCAAGATAGGCCCACTTCCCCATTGCCGGGTGAGCCCAGCTACTTTTTTTACCTCAATATCGTTTTGATATGACTAATCCTCTTACTTTTTTGAACAAAGAAAAATTTCTAAGCCCTTTCGTTCACGTATGTTCGATACAAACTGGGTTTGTTTAATCTGATGTCCCCTTTTGCACGACATGTACTGTGCTGATCTTATGCTTCAGTGGGAAACTCGTTTGACAGGTTCGCACGAGGGAGCTTATTATCCAAGGTCATCAAAGAGTATTTACTGTTTGATCCGAAGATGTAATTTTCTCAGTTCTTGTCGTGACACTTCAAAAGATGACAAACGTTTCAAAATAGTCCGCGTTGGCGCCTCGCCGACGCGTATGGTAATTGGAACAGGAAAAAAAAAATTTAATCGACGAGAGAGCGCAAAAGAGCCGCTTAGTTTGCGAAGCGACTAGGATACGAAGTACGATACCTAAGTCCCGATTTGATGTAATGATGGAACAGTGGAATGGCGAAACGGTAGAATGGCGGAATATTCTTGAACACGTAATTGCGGAGTATCCTAAAGCGCGGAATGACAGAATATCATAAACTGCAGAATGCCGTATTGTATGAAACAAAAGTCTCACAAAAACTGAAAGGCAATGAAATAAGAAAAATATTTATAATTGACAGGCAAAATTAGAAGAGGCACAGTTAAATCATTATGGGCCCCTACAGGCTAGCGGAACCGTGGGGCTTCTGAGTTAGCCCCTATAAATTGTTATTAAAATTTCAAATGTTATCATCATAATAAGATTATTTCTTACCATTTGATTATTGATTGAATGTCAATTAGTCACTATATTCTCGAATCATCTTTCTCTTGTGGAGCGGGGTACTCATAAATATATGGGATGCGGCAGGTTGTCCGTTTTGTGTTTGGATACAAATCTTCAGTAACCCTATCTTCTGGCGGTAACCTATATTTGTGTTCAGTTCTGTTAATATCGTGCTATATCAGTGGCCACATGCAGTCTCAGACCGCCGTTTTTTTCTTCCGTTACCAGAAACCGCTGACTCACTTACATTGTTGATATGCTCTGTCATTTGGGTCTCTGTGAATCGAGTAAGGCATTGTAAGTTTTCTTGAGCGACGGTTTTGAATTGACCATGTTTAACTCAGCGGACATCCGTATTAATTCAGCTCCTTTCTGAAAAACCACCTGCTTCCCATTCTATTACTGTTCTTGTGGTGTACGTTTAGAGCAGAATAACGTGGTTTTGCAAGCTCAGCTTAATCCCATGTGATATTTGGAGCAGTGAAATTTCAAGTTAAAAACAAAAGTGTGAACGAAAGGACTCATTTGTCAGGCAAGAAGCTTACACTTATTGTTTATATGGGTGTCATTTTCCTCTAATAGACCAAACTATTTTCATCTTAACATGCGATGCTTATATGGGTGTTGCAAGCCATTATTTGCGACGATGGCCTTCAACCCGAACTTTTAGCTATCCTGGTCAACTGTTATGTGGAGGCATGTACTGTTTACTGAATTTATGTCTTTGCTTGAGAACATAACTTGGCAATTGTCGTCGACCAGCAAAATATTGATAGACCTTTTAATTTCAACCTTCACTCCTTGGTTGATAAGACATTTAACTTCAGAAATCCTGGCTTATAAAACGTTTAATTTTTCTTGAATTTCCCTTTCGTTTGTGAATTACGCTATCCTTACTCAGGGTTTTTTTTTCACTGCATGCAGGCGACTAAGAGTCAACAAAATTATCATTTGTAAATTTTCTTGTTCTTGCTCTATCGTCGCTGTAGAGGGGACACGTCAATAATTTCAATGTAGGGCAGTGTCGAAACTGAAACATTCGCCACGTTTTTTCCCGTCTTATTTTACTCTCGTGCAATTTTGAATAGTGCTCTCCTCCTTTGCTTTTGCTTTTAATTTGTGGAAAGAAAGACCTCGTGGATGTTCCATCAAGTTAGTTCTATTATCGTGCGATCGAGAAAGGTTTAACCAATGCTGACAAGAAACAAGGAAACCCTTTGATATCGAGCCTCGTGCATATGGTTTATTTATGCTTACAATGAATGGATGATGACTTAAAAATCACAGGAAAGAATACCAAGGCTCGTGGAAAACTCCGCATTTTTTTCATTTACCACAGCATTCTGTTTATGGAGGGCTTGTAGTCGTTCAAGCGTAACAATTTTCTCAATTAAACGGTTGCTTCACGAGAATTTTGCTTTGTGTAATCAAATTTCACCCATAGGTCGTTCTTTTGTTTATGTGTATTTCGCGGAACGATTTTGACAAGTTAACACGAGGCAGCAGCTGAGAGCAATTGACTCGTAAACGATTTTTTTACTGTGCAGAGTCAATATCTACATTTCCTTCACATCGTATGTTAACCTGCGCAGTTTTTTAGTT